ACATATGCCATCAACATTAATCATTCACTCTCTCAGGGTGACCGTATAATTGTGAAACGGTGTAAAACCCGACACTGTTTTTGAAAAATTCATAAAACTGTTAAGGTGAAGGGTGTTGTGACCAGAATTTGAATATAGAGGTATATTGTGATGAGAAATCTGCCACTGTTTGTCAAAAAATTCCATTCTCTCTGCTCTCTCCATAATCGCGAAAATCGAGGGTGACCTTACAATTATGAAACGCACTGTACAGGGATACCTTACGATTCAAGACACCGTCACTGGTGCATCGCAAAAAACTTCCACTTTGCGATAAATGGAGTTCTCTGATATTGCGATGGAGGGAAATTCCCGATCTCCACTTGGAAAGTTTGAGCTGATCGTTTCAAGAGTGTAAAACGGTTACGCATTGGCGAGCAGCGACCATTGGAAATAGTCACTTTGAAGTAGCAACCCCGTCGTGTCGTGACGCGATAAGGTAGTTTTCTTGAAAAGGGTAGAAAAAAAGCCTCAAGCGGATTGCGACAGGAAAGCGCACATACCATGCGGAGATGTTATGACTTACTAACGTAAAGATGGGATGCAGATCCCAATGTGAAACATAAGTTTTGTGAATTAGAAAACTTATGTTTCGTTATTTTGCCAGCTTTTTCTACGTAATCAATATGAAATACGACAGAACACGAGTACTCAGGGAAAGGGAATTCTGAGGAACGGTAGCTGGGGAATGATATTTTCTAGAAATGCGAACAAGGATAGCTTGCATGCTTCAATTCCACGGCATTAGTTCAGCTTGATATGTTTCCATTTTTTTCCCTGAACTTTTCCACTTCATTACATTTCCGGAAACAAGTTGAGCAAAACGCCCATAAATTTCAAACCCAGCTCAAAAAGAAGGCGTGACAACGGAAGGAGCTTTCTGTTGTTTGCTTTTGGTACAGATACACTCACAAGACCGGATTTTTTTCTGAGCGGTCTCGATCATGAAAATATGAAAATAGTTACAGTATTCGTAATTTTTCACCCAACATCGGTGCTCATGATAATCGAATTGCTCGGCTGCTTCTTCTCAAAAATTTGGAATGCTCAGCCGAGATACTTCTCAATCGCTCCAACCTATCTAATAATAGAATTTTAGGAGACAGTAAATGTGGGGTGGAAAGGAAGGAGGACGGGTGTAGGAGGACGGAGGATGAATTTCAAGAATGAGGTGCGCAATACTTCTACCACGGTAGTTGGTAATCTACAATTACGATCTCGTTTCGCCCCTTCAAAACTTGGTGAACTGCAGTTATCCACTACGAGAATCACTTTTAGCATCGCATTGAAAATGGTATATTATCGCTGAGTATTTCGCTCACGGTTTGATGACATTCAACTGCCGTTTTCTTTTTTGTTCAGTGGCGCACCAATGAATATGCGCACGTGACGTTCCTGGCTACACATCTTCGGCTGGATACCCTATCGCTCACTGATAGCGTATAAACCGTAATGCGCAAGGGTATGCTCTCTTGAATAGGCCTTCATTGTTAGCTACGCTCTCAACTTCGCTCTTAAACGCGTCACGCTTGATGAGTGGTTTTCTAGAATGAAACCAAAGCAGAGTTCCGAGTAAAGCAGCCTCGTGTGTACGGGGCATGAAAAGTGTTTCTTGTTCTGTTTGTAGTTCGTTCTTCCTGATTGGGATCGTAGATAAGGCATTTTGTGGGCATGAGGTATACGTTAACGTGCGTAGCCCAACTGGTAGCGGATAATGCAGACTTCAAACAGAGACCTTTTCACATAAAACCTGGGTATTCTACTTATGGCGGATAAAACCTACGTTCGCTTCAATGTGAAAAAGCGAACGAAGAGAAAAATCCACTCGAAAATCCAACTAAGCACTAGTGATATCATTTTGTTCATATACAGTTCGCCCAACTTCACAGTACGGGAAACAGCTTTCTCCGCGCATTCGAAAAAACATCAGCAGGACTGAATCTGTACAAAACAATTTCACGAGGAAAATTTCACGTACACTCAGTTTAACCTACAATACAATACCAAGAGGAGTAGTCAAAGATAAAATGATAGAATAGTACTCGCTACTACTCTGGTGGGATATGATGCATTTTACGACTCTGCTCAAAACCGTTTTGGGAAGTTAAATGACCAATAACAGAAATTTTTCCGAATTCAGATACACTTTATTATACTTATTACTTCCTGGACCACATACCAATATTAGACACAGATCCTTCACAGCCGAGGCTTCTACTGATTCTGTCGAAATTTCTAGAAAACTGTGTCACCTAGAACTACAAAAAGATCTTGCATCGTCATCTCAAACAACAGGCGAAAGTTAATGTCTATAGACTCTATTGTAATGTTTTTTTATTCATTTTTTATTTGTACTATTTCGGCACTGCACTCTTTCAAATTTTCTTTCAACAATTACCTGTGTTCGTGTTGCCACTCGCTTGCTTGTTGTTTTAGTGGTTATTTAATTTGTTCTACTTCATGCGGCCTACATACCTCCTTTCACTGAGGTTCTCTCTCACTGAGGGATCCCGGAGGACGGTACACTGTGCGATTCGAGCTGCGCGCGGCAAAATGCGCGGCGAAATTCGTGGCCATTCGAACAACCCTGGTGCCTATCGATGGAGCTCAAACTTGGAGTAGATGACTATGGACGAATGATCCTACTAATCTACTCTACTTCAAATTTGGGCCCCATTAATAGGCGCTAAAGTCGACAAAATCGCTACGAATTTCGTCGTGCGATTTGCCGGCGCGCAGATCGAATAGCACGAATGTACACACACCCAAGGATCCGGATCTTCCGGATCCCAGCCCATAAGCGACGAGCTACGTAGGGCGTCCCTATGTGACGGTTGGGGAGGTAAATACCGACCAAAAGTCGCCAGTACTTGCTCAGAGACGCAAGTGGATTCAGGGAGTGGACTCCCTGATCCTGCTGTGCTGATCGATATACTTTCTGTTTCTCACAGGCGTATCCATACGTTTGGAGAGCCTGTGGGTGCAGAAAAGCTTGCATTCTGGAAAGTATCTGGGAGACGATTTGGAGCCACCTCCAAAAACAAAGCCCCTTGTCCACTTCGAGATAGCCTGGCCAGCCCCGCAGTCAACCCAGCCCCACGTCAGAGCCTGGTAAGCTGCACGTAGGGTATTCACTCGCCAAAAACAGTGATAAAGATGGGCCTCATTCCCCTGAAGCTGAGGGGGTGCAAGCAGATGATGCAAGCTAGGAAGATCAAGTACGATCTCATCGGAATGACCGAGACGAGGAAGCATCCCCCGCTGCAAGCTGTATTTGAGATTGGAGAACTGTTTCTGAGAGTATGCGACACCAGAGGCGTCGGCGAGGGGGCTTCCTCGTCAACACGCACTTGGCCATGAACATCGATTCGTACCAAAGCTTAACAACTCGAATCGGACGTGTGCGATTAAGAAGATATGGATCAACCCCAGCTTCAATCATCTTCATTGCCTACGCACCAACACCAAGCTACGAAGAAGAGGGGCTGGAAGCGTATTACATGGATTTGAAGAAACTATCGAGAAGACCATACTTCCTTTACTTTCTGAGCAGGGTGGAAGGCCGTCCGAGTTTATCAACCAACATCATCCGTGGTGACTCGCAGTTCCAGAAGCCTTTTCATTTGCGATGGACATAGGAGTAACCCTGTGCACAGTTCTATCATGAAATAGACCACATCTTCTACAATCGGAGATTTTGCCTGGCTGATGTCGCTGCTGTTCTGAAGTTCTACACAGAATCGGACCATAGTCTTATCCGCGCTAGATTCTGCTTCTCAGTGCGTGGAGAGAGCTATGAAGTTCAGGAAACGAAGCCTCGAGACCTCCATCGACTAGGACCACTTCGCTTCCCTTGTGAATTGGAAGATTCCGTTATCGCCTACATCGATTAAGAATACAACCGACTCGTCGAACATTTTCACGGTAGCACTACGAAAGCATAGTCTACAAGTAGCTAAGAGACAACTCTCTTCGAAGAATCTCGAGCTGATGCGTCAGCGTGGAATCGCGCGAGCTACAGGCAGTCATCAACAAACGTCCGATTATGCGAAGCTATGCAGAGAAGCGATAAAGGAAAATCTGAAAGAGAGAAGAGCAGCATTCATGGACGAAGCCTCCGAGACCGGAAAGAGCATTTGCAAAGCTTCATGAAGCTTCATTAACTACAAGACCAATATGACTTCCCTCCGGCATCCTGACGAAACAGTTACTGCATCTCGAAGGGCAATGGAGAAGGTCATCTACGACTTCTACTCGCATCTCTTCAACAGCCACGTCCACTTGTTTATCCACCATCTTAGACAAGACGAATACATCGCTCCCTCAGTTCTCCTTTCCGAAATTCGACATGCCATCATGTCGATGAAGAATTGTACGGCGCCCGGTCCCGATAGGATCAAAACCAGAACATCTGAAGAGTCTTCGACCAGTTATCGTCAAAACTCTGACTAGGTTCTTCACGCGGTACCTGTCGGAATGCAAAGTGCCCACGCTGTGGAAAATATCAAGACTGTGTTGCTGTATAGAAAGGGGATCTATGCGATAATGGCAATTATCGCTCAAACTGCCTGCTGTCTGTAATTTACAAGCTTTTCACACGCGTCATCCTGAACAGGATTAGCAAAATATTAGATGAAGGATAGCCGTGCGAACAAGCAAGTTTCGGAAAAGGCTCAGTACAATCGATCTATCCACACTCTTACAAGGCTCACTGAAGTAGCACGAGAGTGCAAAACCCCGATGTCTTACGTTCATCGATTTGAAGAAAGCCTTTGATACCACTGAGACAGGAGCGGTAATTGAAGCTCTGGGCAACCAGGGTGTTCCTACTCAATACATAGGGATGCTTCGCGAGCTCTACGACAATATCACGACCAGGTTTCACCATTCTACAAGGAAGTCACTACCAACGTGAAGAGAGGTGNCACCTCTCTTCACGTTGGTAGTGACTTCCTTGTAGAATGGTGAAACCTGGTCGTGATATTGTCGTATTTACTTCACCTCCGCTTGCAGACGACATCGTGCTCATAACACTGAACATCGTGCAGGCGGAACGAATGCTGGCCGAGTTTGACAGTGCTTGTGGAAAGATCGGCTTGAGACTGAATTTAACGAAGACGGCGTTCATGAAACACGGATTGGTACCTGATGCTCCTTTCGCGCTGAACGGAACGAATATCTCCGAATGCTCTGGCCATGTGTACCTAGGTCGGGAAGTCAACATGATGAACGACCTAGCTCTGGAGCTGTGCAGAAGGAAACGCACCGTGTGGGGAGCATTTAAGATATCGAGGAAGTAGTGAAGAAGACAAAGAACATCGGGCTCCGCGCTCTCTTTTCGACACTGCCGTCCTTCTTGCTTTGACGTACGCCTCGGAGAATTGGACTTTACGGAAGCAGGATGAGCATGCTGTCAGCGTTCTCAACGCGCTTTGGAAAGGACGAAGCTCGGAATTTCCCTATACGTGCAAGTGCAGAAGGGAATCCGGAGTTCGGAGCTCCGCCATCGAACGGAGATCACGGATGCCGTTGATTACACCAAGAAATCGAAGATAAGGTGGGCCGGACACGTTATGCGATATAGCGATGACCGCTTGACCGGGGCGGTAACGGAATGGATCTCTCGGGACATCAAACGAACTCCAGGACGGCCGCCAACGAGATGGTCTGACTCCTTCACGATAGCTCTGAACGAAAGGAATGTTGTATCTCGTGTCCCTAAAGCGAGGACGATTCACTGGATCACTCTGACTCATGACAGGGACGAATGGAGACGTTACTGGCGCCCGCTCGAGGCGGTCGAGGGTCAACGGGACGGCATGCTACAGGTGAGGTGATACTTCATGCGGCGGCAAATGCCACAAAGTTAAAATTAGGTTGAAGGGTAGCCTTAAACAAAATCATTCCCGTTATTCTCGAGTGACAAGTAAAGTAGTCAGTACGTAAGACATAAGTGCAGGCAGGAAGACGAGTGATGTCGAATTCCGGGATCTTTTCTGCTTATTTATTGATCCTTTAATATTGTCATTCAAAAATTTTTCACGTATATGGCTACTCATCTGACCAGGGAAGGATCCCGAGCCGAAGTGGCCATTTGAAATGAGACCTACACTGCTAGGTGTGTTTTTGAATGCTGAGTTCAAATCTGCTTTCCAAATTTGCAAAGCGTTTCTCTGAACGGAGTTATGAGGGTGGTTTCAGGGAGCTTAACATGGGAAAACTTAAATTTCACGGATGTGCTTACTTTCTCAACGGCGACTTTATGTAGTGGTAAGCGTGACGTTTTGTGTGGGACGGAACTTTTGAATTATATAGAATTTTTCCCTCAAGAACTAGAAAATACTCTCATGGTGATTCTATCACGTTTTATGACCTTTTAAGGCTTTTGCTGATATTTATCCACATAAAGTAATACTTCAGTTTAACTCGCATGCCCATGCACTCTTATATTCACAGTAGGATGACTTTTGCCACTTTATGAGCAAATGTGATACTCTTGCACGACATGCTCGAAACAAAGAAGCTTCTCACAATGGGAGCTACGGAAAAGAGGTCGTCACAGCCCATTGCTTTATACTTACTAACCCCAAATAAGAAGGAAATCAGTATTGTGTAGGCGTCCCAGAATCTCCCGGGTGAGCGCTTAAGTAGCCGACGACATACCATGAATACAAGAGGAATTTCCTAAATCTAACGGCGACTGTGACTAAGTTATCCTACTGTGAATATAGAGTGCATGGGTATGCGAGTAAAACTGAAGTACTACTTTACCACGGTAAATATCAGCAAAAGCATTAAAATGTCATGAAACGTGATAAAATCACCATGAGAGTATTTCCCCCACCCTTAAAAAAATTCTATATAATCCAAAAACTCCGTAGCCCACAAAACCCGAACCCTAGCCTATCGCTCATGAAACGTCACGCTTACCACTACGCCAAGCCGCTGTAGAGAAAGAAAGCACATCCATGTAATATAAGTTTTATTATGTTAAGCTCCCTGAAATCACCCTCATAACTCCGTTCAGAGAAATGCTTGGCAAATTTGGAAAGCAGATTTGAGCTCAGCATCCAAAAACAAGTCCAGCAGTGTAGGTCTCATTTCGAATGGCCACTTCGACTTGGGGTCGCTCCCTGGTGAGTCACTTATTCAAATATTTTCCATATTTGATTATTCCCAAATTTTTGTAAACTGAAATCATCTTGCCACTGTGATTAGCTGGCTTTACATTAAGCGACACAAAAACACTAAAATGGAGTCTGTGTTAAGGAAGGTATATCTACCTAGACCTCGTCAAAGGAGACGCTCACCCTAGTCTGCTTTCAGCTCGAGGTAGGTTGGGCTTGTAGCAATACTGAATAACTTAGGACCTGGTGCACGATTTTTCACTTTCAACCCTACCACAACGTCCTCCATTACTTGCAGAAAGTGTGCAGGTAGGAGTAATGAGCCGCGCGTATGAAACTTTTTGAGTAACAACGAGCATATTATTTTCAGTGTGCATCCATTTGGTGTTAATATTTCCGAAGATGTCCACCACTAAGCAACAAGAAATACTGGCATCACACTAAATTGGTAATGTTTTATTGAATATGCCCAAAGAACATCAACTCTTAACTTTCTAAAAAGCTTACACTAATAAAGCGAAACTTTAAACAACAACAATTTAAGATAAGATCTGTACCGAGCCTTCTTGGAATATAATACGACTAGGATAACAAATTTTCCTCTCGTTTCAGTTATACACTCCTTTAATCAACACTTCGGCTTTTATGGTAAGGTTATAAAATTGTCTTTACCACAGATCTAGGCCGGAGGCAGAATTGAATTGAATGACGAAACGACGAAACGTTAAGTAACAGAGACTTTCAAAAGCAAAGGAAGCAAAAAATCTACTTTCGAAAATCTGGAAACGTCAACTGAGCACAAGTGATATCATTGTAAATCATGCAAGGCACATCAAATGGAAAAGAAGAAGATATTTAAGATCAGATAAGCCAACCTCTCAGGGCGTTTACTCAACGATTAGGAACCTGAGAAGTTGCTGCCGCGTCTCCTCTGCATGTTCGCGTTGTAACTCTTGCGATTCTTCAGCTAATATTCCTTTGTGCCGCAGAAGTCGAAGACAATTCCGAAATGAGTCCGAATTCACAGCCTCCACTGAAAGATTTTCCATGACACCACTTCAGCTCCACTTGTTTGTCTGGTCCTGGCATTTTTCATTCAACTCCGACAGTAGACAATTATTGAATTTTTGGACTCGCAAAAAAGTGCGTATAAGCTCAGGCAAGAAACCAAGGCATCAATTTCAATGCAATCAGATGGAGTGGCTGCTTGGCCAAAAAGGAATAGCATATATGTATACAGGCTGTGTTAGGCTGTTATGTATCATGCGTTAGGCTGTTCGGGAATTAGCTGCGATTTTCTAAAACGCTTTTTTTTCCTCAACCCTTGCTTGACATGAGAAGCTTCTCATAAGTTTGAACTTCTTATCTGATATATACCACTCGGATCGCTGGCTTGAGCTGAACCATGCTCCTTTTCGTGCTAAAACTGAAGTGTATTACTCAGGATCATCACTACTCTTTCCTCTCCTTCATTGAAAAAATGAGTCGTTAGTATTAGGTTGTAAGGAAAGTTCTGGCCGTTATGTCAGCTATCTTTCAAAAAATCATACCTCATCTCAAACTAAACATTTTTATTCAAAGTAAGCCCCATTCGATTCCACACACTTTTGCCAACGTGAGACAAGTCTGTATATCCCATTCTTATTAAAGTCCAGAGATCTGGATTCCAAAAACTCGAGAAAGGCAGCTTCCACCTCGTCTTGACTTTTGAATACTCGTTCCTTCAAGAAGCTGTCCAGATGTTTGAAAAGATGGTATTCAGTTGGTGACAGGTCTGTTGAGTAGGGTGGATGAGGGGGAGCTTCGATTCGCAGCTCGTTAAACTTCTGGAAGATAATTTGTGACACATGCGGTCGTGCATTGTCGTGCAAGAGCAGTGGACCATGGCGACTGACTAGTGCTGGCTGCATTTGCCCCAGTTTCGTATACATCTCGTGAATTTCATTACAATAGGACTGTGCGGTGATGGTTTGACCAGGAGGAAGGAACGCGTAGTGGATTAATCCATGGATGGACCACCAGACTGTTATCATTGTCTTCTTGACGTGCAAACTTGGTTTTGGAAAGGTTTTTGGAGGCTCATCCACACCTACCCACTGAGCAGAACGCTTCCTGTTATCATACAAGATCCATTTCTCATCACATGTTACAATACGATGAAGAAAAGGCTCAACATCATTTCTTCTCAGCAGCGAACTTGAAATCTCTAAGCGCTTTAATTGTTGCTGCTCCGTAAGTTCATGTGGCACCCACTTGTCAAGCTCCCTCACCATTCCAAGCTGCTTGAGGTGGGCAGCGACAACTGTGTGGGAGACACC